TGACGACTGTCAACGTTGTCAACAACTGAGTAGAGCCTATCCGGATATTCCAACCCAAAATAGATATTCTACACTAGCGATATCTGGACCGCAAGTTATCGAAGAGACTGTCGAAGCCATTCAGAGGCAAGCCAGTGGGCAAGGATCGCAAGCTATTGAAGTAGAAGAGCCTGTCGAAGCTATCCAGAGCCAAGCCAGTGGACAAGGTCAAACATCAACATCAACACAAGACGTCGATAAGTCGAGCGATAAACCGAAATCAGTTTTGATTATTGGAGACTCCATAATTAAGCACATAGACCCCCGAAAACTCTCCAAAAAGACAGTCTATAAGCGGTCGTTTCCAGGTAAAAGAGTCGAAGAAATACATGATGAAATAGACAATATACAAATGAACGATGAACTATCATATGTAATTATTCATGTAGGTACGAATAATCTATCATCCGAAAGCGTAGACTCATGTGTTCGAAAAATACAAAAGCTGGCTTTGAAGACTCGCAGAAAATTTCAAAATTCAAAGATTGGCATCTCCAGCATTATACATAGAGATGATATCAATGTGTCGGCAAAGTTATCTGCAGTCAATGGAAAGTTAAAGGAGATGGCTAACAATGATGACTTTGTTTTTATTGACAATTCGCGTATTGATTGAACATGCCTCAACGGCAGCAAACTACATTTGAACGCAAAGGGATCGGCTTATTTAGCCAATAATTTTATAAAATTTATTAGGCCATTGGGAAAACGAGCGAAGCTGCAAACGGGTTTTTTAAACTCAATACATCAGCTGGGACAACTACTAACCCAGCTAACAACCCAACCAACGACAATTCCACTATACAAGAAACCTCGCCGTTAGATGTTGGGAATGACAATTCAGGTAAAGCATGCCGTGGTCCAACAATGGGTGAGTTTGATTCTTCATTGCATTGCGTCGCTAGATTAAAAGGCCTAAAAATTGCTAGTATAAATGTCAATAGCTTATTGAAACACATTGAGGAAATTAGGCATCTGTTATTTAAATTTCCCTTCGATATTTTTGCTATTAATGAATCCAAAATAGATGATTCTGTAATGGATGGGGAAATAAGTATCCCTGGTTTTAACTTGATAAGAAAGGAACGTAATAGGGCAGGAGGCGGTGTGGTGTTGTATATCAGAGACAACCTATCCTATTTGGATAGGAATGACTTGGTGCCCGATCGTATTGAGATGCTGTGTACTGAAATTACTCGCCCCTTTAGCAAGTCGCTTTTTGTCTGCACATGGTATAGGCCTCCGAAGTCAAACTTGAGCTTATTTAATGATTGTGATGTATTTTTTCAAAAATGCGAGTCTAAAAATAAGGAATTGATTATAATTGGTGATATTAACTGCGATGTTATGAAAACCTCACCAGATGCCCATACACGACAATTAAACTTTTTGTGTTCTCTTTATCAACTTGACCAATTAATTAATAAACCTACAAGAGAGACCAACACCTCGGCGACCTTGATTTATTTGGTCTTAACTAATGCTAAAGAAAACATTTCGACGTCTGGTGTAATAGATCTGGGGATGTCTGACCATAGTTTGATTTATGTGGTCAGGAAGTTCACCCTTCCTAAACTTAAACCTAATGTGAAAGAAGTTAGGGATTATAAACATTTTAATGCTGAATATTTTATTGGGGATTTAGCCAGAATGCCTTGGCATGTAATTAATCAATATAATAATCCCAACGAATGCTGGAGGGATGGAAATCTTTCTTTAATGAGATATTAAATATACATGCGCCGATTCGACATAAGCGAGTAAAGGGGAACTCGGTCCCATGGATACTCCGGAAATTAAATGTATGATGAGAAACAGAGACTATTATAAAAAATATGCAATAAAACATTCCTCACAGCCACATTGGGAAAGTTTTCAATTTCTGCTGAATAAAGTGAATGTTGAAATGCGAAATGTAAAATCAAAATATTTTCATGATAAAATCACTGATTGCTCTGTAATGAATGACCCTAAAAAGACTTGGAAATTAATTAATTCATGATTGGGAAAGAATAACAAATCCAACAATGTGAATGAGCTGCTGGTTGACAGCACGTTAAGGCCGGCGCACACTGGAGCTATGTGCTTAGCCAAATTTCATTCGTGGCCATTGGCGTAAGGAGATAGCTCTCGTGTGCGGGCGATTTACGAACAACTTTTGTCATTCGTGCCACTTACGCCAAATATCAAACATGTTTGATAATTTCTGCCTCGCGTGCCAAAATCTTTCCGTGTGCGGCGAACGAAAGCCTTTTGCTTACGGATTGTCTTAACAGCGCATGCGTGGTATACGAAAGTAAACATCCAAGATGGCGGCGCAAAATGAATTGCTGGCCGAGGCAAGGCGTTCTCCAGGTAATACTGTTGTTAATGAATTAAAATTTAATGATACAAAAATTACCTCACCTGAAGAAATTGCCAATGCTTTTAATACATATTTTACTGACATTGGCCCTAACTTAGCTTGTTCTATTGATGATACTGACATTACGTTTGATCGTTTCGTCAAACCAGCTACATCAAAAATGACACGCTTTAAGTTAGTTTCTCATACTAAAGTAGTCAAGCTTCTCAGTGGTTTATCCAATTCGAAAGCAACTGGTCTTGATAAAATATCTGGAAAGATTTTAAAAGCTGCAGCCCCTACTATTGCCTTATCACTCACACACATCTTTAATCATGCTATCATAACAAGCTGTTTCCATATGAATGGAAAGCTGCTAGACTTCTACCACTTCATAAAAAGGGTCCACGAGATCTCCCAGAAAACTATAGGCCAATCTCAATCTTACCTGAAATAAGTAAAGTTATGGAAAGAATTATGTATAATCAGATCTATGAATACCTTAACTACAATTCGATCCTGTCTGAACACCAATTTGGTTTCCGCAAATCTCATTCAACTGCTTCGGCTCTTTTGGATTGCACGAACAGTTGGTACGTTACTTTGGACCGCAAAATGTTTAATTTGGTTGTATTATTAGATTTAAAAAAGGCCTTTGATACTGTAAACCATGATATTTTGGTGCGAAAACTTGAGCTATACGGTATCAATGGTAGTGCCTTAACCATGATACAATCATACTTGTCTGATCGCAAACAGAAATGCCAACTGGGACACGTAATGTCATCTGAGCGGCATGCCACATGCGGTATTCCGCAGGGATCCATCCTTGGTCCACTTCTCTTCCTCTTATATATAAATGATCTTCCAGAATGTCTTCATGAAGCTGCCCCTCGGCTGTTTGCCGATGACACCAATCTTACGGTAGCTGGTGAGTCAATAGAGGAAGTTGAGTTGGCCATGAATAATGATCTCCTTAGTGTACATACCTGGCTTTTAGCCAACAAACTGAGTCTCAATGCTTCAAAAACCGAATTTATACTTATTGGTTCAAATCATACATTAATTAAAGAACCTTACTAATCAACCAAATATAAAAATAGATCAAGACAAAATTAAGCAAGTTCATCATAGTAGATTACTTGGGGTTCAAATTGATGAAAAATTGTCTTGGAACAAGCATGTTGAAAGCGTGGCCAAGAAGGTTACTTCCGGTGTAGGAGCTTTAAGAAGAATACGTGACTTTGTCGATAGGGAAACCTTGATCTCTATCTACAATGCTTTAGTTCGCCCTCATTTCGATTATTGCAGTGAGGTATGGGATACCTTGGGCATTGGCCTTTCAACTCGACTTCAAAAACTGCAGAATAGAGCGGCGAGAAGAGTAATGGGTATGACAAATGATACCCCTGGATTAGAAGCAATTACTGCCTTAGGGTGGGAAACTCTTGAGTCTCAACGAGCTAAGTCTAAAGCAGTACAAATGTACAAAGTTTTAAATGATTTGGCCCCAAATGCACTTGTTAATCTTTTTATGCGTAAAAGTGATGTCACAGATTACGAGCTTAGGGGTTCCTCTACATCACTGCAAATCCCTTTTCCCAGGACTGAAAATATTAAGAAAAGTTTTTCTTACGATGGGGCGAAATTGTGGAATTCCTTACCTGAAGATTTGCGTGATTCGGCTATACCTTGCCAATATTTAAAAGTCGAATTAGTGCTCACAATTTCTCATAATATAATGTAAATATAATTATTATGGTATAATATTAAGTTGACTATTGTAAATATGTTCATTTTTAATGTTTGCTACTATTTATAATGTAATTGACACGCCCCTCGTGGAAATCAGCGAAAGTTGACGAAACTAGCGTGTGATTTTTAAATAAAGTTTATCATCATCATCATCAACATGTCTCCCCCGCGCTCGCCAACAATTTTAATTAGCGACTGATACGTCCGTCGGCACGACTTCCGCCACGCCCTTTCGGTCGGGCAGACAAGCGCAACCCCTCCCCCAGCCGTAATACCCAAGTTACGGCCCTCCAAAAACATTAAACATATATATATATATATATATATATATATATATATATATATATATATATATATATATATATATATATATATATATATATATATATATATATGCTATATATATATATATATATATATATATATATATATATATATATATGTTTATATATAATATATATATATATATATATATATATATATATATATATATATATGGGGTCACAGGAACGCCTTGTCTGCAATTCTGGGCAGAGGCAGAATCACTGTGACCGGGGAGGGGGGTCTAAAGCATATCATCCTTTTGGTTTGATACGTGGGGAGGGGCAATTGCGCCCCCCGCACCCCAAGTTATATAGTTAAAGTTAAAAAGGCCGTGGAAACTATGAAGTCTTTAAATAAAAGGGTCTGAAATATTTCATTTGATCTTGTAACGAAAACTTTTTATTGTTTCGAATTTCGCACCATAGGCATAAGCTCCAACGTACTACATATGCTGATAGCCGACGAGGTGCATAGCTACAGATACAAAACGTATTCATGCAAATATACTCCCTAATACCCTGTTGAAACTCTTTTCGCCATGTCAATTTTCTTTTTCATTCTTCTCAAAACCAACAAGGGATCTTTTACAAGGTTTGCATGAAGTATACACCAACAATATACAGATGTGGAAAGATGAAAGAATGCACTTGCTACAGTAAAGCTTTAGCCTTCTTGGGCGATTCTCATTTTACTTTGACATCTGTTCAAGAGCAGGTAGGCGATTGATTTAATTGTTGCTAGCTAGTGAAATATATTCAAGATCAAAATATTAAATTGATATAAAACCTGGTTTTAAACAGGTATTTAGCTATTGTTGTAATATGCCAACAGTAAGTAAAAAGCACAAACTAACAAACTCTCATCTCATGCATGTTTCATCTGTTGATATGTTTTTATATACTTCCAGCCTATCTATTGCTGGCCTGCTTGGAAATTACCCCCCCCCCCCCTTGGAGCGGGCTGATTCGTGATAGACCGCGCGGTGATGGCGTATAAGGGGGACTGAAACTGACGTACTATATGGCGTGGCGATCAGACCGCGCGGTGATGGCGTATAAAGGGACTGAAACTGACGTACTATATGGCGTGGAAATGGCGTGGAGGGCTGACGCCACTGCTCACGCGTTGCTCACGCGAGGCTTCACTTTTCAACTGCCAAATAACTGAATGTTATCGTTCCAGGCACAGAGTAGATAAGACATACAGAGGCGTAACTGACCGTTGTAAACACTGCGGAAGATTATGGTATCATGTACCCACATTTTTTCAGGCGACCGGGCGAAAAATGATCAACTGCGCGTGCTCAGCAAGTTTAAAGTGAGTCGTCATCAGGTCGTCATCCAATCAGATGCATGCATCTAGTAACTTGCCGAGCATGCGCACAAAAAAAGTGGGTACACTAGTTACGTCTCTGTATGTCTCTACTCTGTGTTCCAGGTAAACAGATTGATTTGGCATGTAGTAAAACACTGACTACCGGAACACCGGAACACCACCGGAACACCACCTAACCCTAACCCTAACCCCAACCCTAACCCCCAACCCTAACCCCCAACCCTAACCCTAATCCTAACCCCAAACCCTAATCCTAACCCTAACCCCAAACAAAATGGTAGTGTTCCGGTGTTCCGGTGGTGTTCCGGTGTTCCGGTAGTCAGTGTTTTACTACATGCCGATTGATTTCACTGCTCACTTTAAACTTGTTGAGCACGCGCAGTTGATCATTTTTCGTCCGGTCGCCTGAAAAAAAGTGGGTACATGAAAACGTAAGCTTCCGCAGTGTTTACAACGGTCAGTTACGTCTCTGTATGTCTCTACTCTGTGACCGGGCTGAAAATCGTCATATAATCGACGGAAAATTTCAACCCGGGTTGAAAAAAACAGCGACAGCGTTTAAGGGGCCGATTACATGGAGGTTTTCAGCCGGGGATGAAATTTCAGCCCGGGGCCCCTATAAATTCAATATAAAATGAATTTTACGATTACATGGAAAAAATTTCAACCCGGGATGAAATTTTCAGCCCTGTCAACCGGGATGAAATATCCCATGTAATCGCAAATAATTTCAGCCCGGGCTAAAAAACAATCGTTTAAATGGCTTTATATTTCGCGTTTCGTCTCATCTTTAATACTTTATATGCAATCACAGTCTTACACAAGTCAAATAGTCGACAAATCGGCGTTTTAAATGCTCAAACAAGCGGAATATTGCCTTTCGTGATATCGTACGATTTCAGCCCGGGATGACATTTCAGCCCATGCAGGTTTGTTTACTACAAGGGATAAATAAAGCTCTGACTAAAACTCAGCCCGGGTTCAAATTGCCCATGTAATCGTGATGCTATTTCAGCTCGGTTAACCGGGCTGAAAACTCTCCATAATAATAGACAAGAATAATAACTTTCTAAATTCTTCGAAGAAGCGAATAGCTCCATTTTGAGATTTGATCGTTTGAGACTTCACTCCGGTATATGCACACAAATTCTAACTCACTCCGAGATGAACTTTGCCATGTAATATCGTGAAACAATTTCAGCTTGGTTAACCGGGTTGAAATTCAGCCCGGGCTGAAAACTCCCCATGTAATCAGCCCCTAAGACAAGTTTGCACATTGCGGATCCACGTATAAATGATATTTGAAAAATACGTGGCAAACACGGATCATCTACCGACCCGGCGGGGTCACTAACGGTGCGCATTGTGTTAGAGAGATCCGAATAAATCAGTTCTACTTGACCGCTCACAATAGACCTTACCGATTATTCTCTTTCACTCAATGGCCTCGTTTTCGTGTCAAATACTTACTCGTGTTTTGTGCTTAGTAGGGTTGAAACTTACTTTGTTATAGAGCCTAAGAACAGCAAGAAACAAATTCATCCAGGAAAACATGGGAATATAATCTTATCTGCCCCTGACATGCTAAAATAGTTAACAAGGAAACAAGACCATTGGGTAAAAGAGAATAATAGGTCTATTTCATTCCAACTTAAGGTAGCTCGACATATTAATCCACACAAAGTCCCTTATGGTCAAGAATCGTGAATAAAACAAAACGCTATCAATGCCATCTGAACAAACTCGCGTGACCCATTCGTATCCACGTGAATATTAACGAAATGTGTACATATATGATCCAGGGGTAGAGTTCACTGATATGACCTGACTCCGTGACTCGCCCACGGCATCACGCGCCATTGTACGTCATTGTACAAGCACGAGCAGCTGGAAAATTTGCTGCCGCTTTGCAGAGAAATTGCTGGCGCACGTGATATTTTACAAAAATTCGAAAATTTGAAAAAACAAGACGAGTGAAATTTCTACTGATGACTTTGCATTTTTAAGACGACGATCAAGGAAATTAAATTGTAGGAAAAACTT